CCTTATATTATACATATTTTTATTTATTTATAGTTTTGTAATTCTGGAACATTCAACATTTAAAGAAATGCAATAAACAACTTGTAACACCCTTCACCTACAGACTGTTCGGAAAGATGGATGATGTATGACAGCTCCCAAAACATCTTGATTGCCCCCTGGTGGCTGGCTGCAATATAGGTAATATACCTCGCCTCCTCCATGTTAGCAGATGGGTCAAATAACAAATCATTTTCCTGAAAAATGGTTACTGTAATTTAAGGTAGTTTTTATTTCACAGATGTTTGTTCACATGTTCATGTTCCTGGTAAGTTTTTTAATTAATAATTTGATGCTGTAAAAACATGTTGACACTTAATGATTGAGAGATGATGATGTGCACAAATTCATGTGATGTTTGTTTTGAAGCTTTTGACCCATTCTCTCTGACCAACATAATAATCTGTGACACTTTAAACCATATGCATACTGATTGATTCACATCACATTCACATTACAGCTGGTCATCACTGCACTGCTACAGCATGAAACTGTAACATACAAAAAGTGCTGCTGCAATTTTAGTTCAGAATCACGGTCAACTTTTTTTCCAGACTTTCAGGTTGGTTTTGCACACGACAATAAGACAGAAAAAAATGAGCCATTAACATAGTTCCCTTCAAGTCCCGGAATCACAAATACCTATAAAATACAATTTAAATACCCCGTCCAACAGTGCAAAAGACATTCAAAGCAGTTAATTCAACACACAGATCATAAAAAGGTAGACGTCTGCCTTCCAGCACAGCAGAGATGGTTTGAATGCAGAAGAATTTCAAGAAGATATTAAAACCACAACAGCTACAGAGTTTCATCACAACAGACCCAACGAATGTAATTCAAGCATGATAATAGAATCATCGTCCAGCAGCTCTGGTTCCAAGGGAATAAAGGGAGTCATGAATACAATTCCTCTCAAACAGAAGCAAAGCAACAAGTGACATTAAAAACCAAAGATGTTTACAGACGTCCTCTGCCAGTGTTTCTCATCATATTGCACACCTAATAAATACCATTATTTATTCTGCTGCAGTGAAAATCATCTGATAGAGCATCATTACTTACACCACCTTCAGTTTTACAGTTTACCTACATGTTTATAGTGATTTGATGCGAGGGCAAAGGAGTAACAATAACACCATGGATGGTAAATATTTAGAAAGAGGACGTGAACGCAGCTTAAGTTCACTTAAGTGTGACAAAAAGCAGGTTTCAGAATGTAAAACAATAAATACAGAGAGAGCCAGTGACTTTAAATGTCCTCCTTTTGCTTTCTGCCCAAGGTGAGCGCCCCCCCTCTCCACCTATCTGATGGTGATTAGCCCGTGTCTTGTTACCATGGCAGCCATAGCTAAAGCTCAGAGCAGGTCAGGCAGGATGAGGCCCGGGGGTTTGGGCTCCACACAGTTAATCCAGAAATTGGCACAGCTGGCGTGGTACTGGTGGCCCCCGTACAGCAGCCTGAAGTTGTCCGTCTCAGAGTTGAACGCCTGTCAGAGTGAAAGGGTGAAATATGAGAAACCCGAATCACAAAGGTGAGAAATCCATCTGTGCACACAGGAGGAAGATAGATGTCCACCGTCTGCACCAGTCTGCTCCACAAAGCCACAACACAGGAACTACAAGTTTGAAAATAGAGTTTAAAAACAGTTCTTGACATTTTACCTCAACATTTAAAAAAGAAAATCATATCCCATACAAGTAATCTGAAAAAATAAAACTAAGATGGTGTTAAAATTAAACTGCAGTGACTGCTATGTGACTACTTACTGCTACTGAAGAGTAACTTTAACTTTCCACAGCATCTAATCATATGGATAGACAATGGTCCTGCTAAATGCTAAAAAAACATCTGTGTAGCCTCTGATTGGCAAAATCAAAAAGGGGTTCAAACTTCATTTGAATTCACATTTATTGAATGTATTTAATCAACAATATTAAGCAAGGACACTGAAGTAGAAACGAGATCACACACTGTGTCTATTCTGCCTTTGAGATAAGCAGAGTTGAAATGAAAAAAGTTAGTGATAATGATTAATAAAGAGTCCTAACAGTGCATAGAAAAAAGATCTAGCACAGTTTATTTCTCGTTTGTCTCTTCAGTGCTCACTCTGCTCTGCTGTTATATTTCATTTCATCACTGCTTACCTCCAAGAATCACTACAAGCACACTTACAACCATCAGCCTCCTAAAACTTTAAATAAGGTCACAAATGTTGATGCAGAGCATGAATCACATCTTTCCTGAGAGCAGCACAGCGGTGCCACAGCTCAGCCTCTATGTTCGTGACCCTGCAGCACATTCCAGCCAAGTTATGCATGAGAAAAGCCACCTCTGGTAAAAGAGGATTTAGATTTGCAGGGTCTTGCAATGCCTACTAGGAAAGACTCAAAAGTTTTACTTCCTACTTTGTTAAAATGGCCTGCATGGAAATGTTTGTAAGCCAGTGAGCAAAGAATATAAACTGCACCTATATAACAAAACATATAGATAGGAATGAAAGGTGTACATTTCTTTAGAACTGATGCAAGGGCCACATTCTGTGAGTATATCACGGATCATGTCTAAATTTAAATAAGTGTTTAGAATCTGAATAAATAAATCTACAGACTTTCAGAAAACCTGAATACAAACACAGCAAGCACTGTTTTCTGACTTTACTGTCTGAATTCAAAGCAGCAGGTTCCTTGGTGCTGTGACACATTTTGCTACTGAAGAGACCTGTGGAGACAAGATGGCCTCCTCTGTGTTTCTGTGATTGTGGCAAAATAAATAAATGTTCACCACATGACACTGAAAGAGACACGAGGAGCTAAGACCTGGAACGGACTCAAATACAAGTTTGGCTGCATCTGCTCGTGTAGTGTTTCATCATAAAAAATCGTATTAACTGAAATGAACGAGCAAGGTGATGAGACAACAGCTGAACAATTCTCAAAAACGTTTGTTGCTGTAAATTATGTTTTCACTGACAATTTACAAATGAATTCGAAACACGGAGCTCTGACTGTCACTTTGCGAGCCTGAGTGTTCACTGGGCCCAGCTGTAGCATGGTGTGTGCAATCAGAAGATGCTAATGTGTGCGACGTGCAGTTTGAGAGTTTGCATCCCTGGTGAAATACTGGAGCTGGAGCCAGAGAGAGAGGAATGAGTCATGTGCAGTGAATCAGAGCCTCCCACACAGGAGGAGAGGGGACACATGCAGGAAGCAACAGCTCCATAGAAAACAACCACAACACACCGTGAAGCCAAATATGTCTCTTACACCTGCCCGCTGGATGAAGGACTTTCTCACGCTGAACTCAACACATTTCCACATTTCTGCTTCTTCTCACGTACTCCTGTCAGAGATCTTTTGTGTCCTGGCCTACTTCTTTCCACAAACCTGCTCTTGGGACTGCCAACGCTGAAATTGTTAGAGGGTGGTCACACAATGACGCACTGTGATACCTCCTGTTTTCCCTGCAGAGCCTTTCCTTCTCAAACTCTCCAACTTCTCTCAGACTTCACCTGCATGACACTGCTTGATTTAAAGTGGCGCTGTTCATAATTAAACCTCTGAAACAAGAACGTGGGTATTCACACTCTCCAACCTGGACCTGGTGAGATAAATGAGCTGGTGCTGATTCACCTGACATTTGCAGCTGCATGTAAACGCTGCAGTCACACTGAGACACCACCTGATTGGATATTCAAATCTGCTTTGAATCTAAACTCTGTTTCTCTATATTATCTGAGATTTTCATGGGAATTAAAAATAAAAAAGGCATAATTACCCTTGACCTGCTGTCATTGATTTTAGTCAATGCCTGTAAGCATAAGGAGTCAACATGTTGAGGCATATTCATGCAGTGACCAGAGCAAAGACATGTGTGCACAGAATGACAAACACAAGCAAAGCAAACATCTAGATAAACTGTTTCAGAAGGACAGAGCTCCCGCTCACCAGAATGTCTGAGGGTGAAAACATCAAAGAATCAGAGTTATTAGTCAGGGTTCGCGCACGTTTTCTGAGGCCATTGATCTGAAATATTGATTGAAAATTTGAGTCTGTGAAGGTACGTTCATAGCATCAGACTATCAGAGCTTGGTTAATGTTGTTAATAGACATATCTGGGCCGTAGGTGGAAGTAAACAAGCTGCCGTTACTGCGATGGCACTAGTAAACCCACAAATAACAGTGATGTGTGTGAAGAATTGGACTGTTTTATTATTTATCTTGTCAAAGTCGTCATTATAACCTTTTTTTTTCTAGTTTTAACAGATGGGCTGTTCTGTTGAATGGAAAAGTCACTAAATCTAGATTATTATTAAATCCTCCTGTTTTTATCTGTATTCTGATGCAACTCGACTACAAAGACACAACCAGGAGCCAGTGTGATCCGTTTGTTTACTGGACCAAAAGTATAATGTTTCTGATTTAGAACCAGTGGAGATTTTAAACCGTTTTCTGACAATTGTAGTTAATTATATTAATACAAATATATGAAATATTTTTAGTCTAAAATGGCAGTAATGGGTAGTTTCGGCAATATTCTTATTTTAATAAAATTACTGATGTGATTATGAAGCAAGAAATGATTATGTTTAATGATTTAAATCAGAAGCTTCAATTTAGCTCCTGCTGGTTTTAATAACATTTCTTCAGAATTCATTTCTCACCAAACCTGTGTTATGATCAGTTCCAGACAGTTTGGAGACTCAGTAAACGCCACGTTAACACAGACCAGCTTTAACTGCCAAGACGAGGAATCTAATGACTATGATTAACCATAAACATCTCTGCTTTCACTGTCAGTGAAAACATTTTCTGTTCAGCTCTCCACTGTAATAAGGACAGAAATGCAGAATCACAACACATGGATTTGTTCCTAGTTAAAAGTCAGTACAGGGCAAATAGCAAGGAAATCTACAATGATTTGTGATGAGTTATTCGGGGAAATGCACTTTATCAATTCCCAGACTATTCAGACCTGGTTTTCTCCATGTTATTCTTCTGTTAGCCGTGTGAGAACCCTGCTAACCTGCCACATAAAAGCATGCTGTGACAGAGATGGGCTAACTGACAACAGATTTATGAAGCTAAATGTTGTCGAGTCGTGAACATTCACAGATTAAACTGTCAAAGTTTGGATTGAAACTCGAATCAGCTCCACGATCCAAACTGCACAGACTCAATAATCATTCTAAATCCTTGAGGCGCTTCAGTAACCTGCATTAATATAAATAGCCAGAAATGCTAAATTATTCAACTTAAAATCCTTTCAAGTGCTTCTCCCTATAATTGCTCAAATTAGCATTAATCATTTAGCTGAGGAGCAGGAGCATCATTAGCTGAGGATAAAACTTTAAAACTGCTGCTGTGATCAGATTAAGCTGCTGCCAGTCGCCCATCCCTGACTCCAGCCGACCCAAAATGACTGTTCCAACAGGACCATGGTGAGACTGAGATTTTCAGCCCTGACAAAATCGTACAATATGATTTTTTGGCTTAATTTGTATCAATAAATAATGTCTTTATATAGGTTCACTTTAAAATGTAAATTCACACCATGAATTGAACAGGAGCCACTAATCCGTCAAACGTTTTTCACATTTCTTTAAAGCCACTGGCACATCAACATCTCCGCCCTTCTGTACTTCTGGTTGAAAAACAAATCAGTGCCTCTTCACTAAAGGACAATACAACAATCAGCGCCGTCTGCTGAAGCCAACGCTGTTTTTTCACTTCATTATACTCTGAGGGGTTGCTATTCTCCACTTGGCTTTTATGCATTCTTACCAGTGAGGCTCTGCCAAAAATGTAATTAAAAGATGGGTTATTAATCTCATGCTAGTGGCACAGAGACAAAATAAAACTGCATTAATTTCAGCCTGCCTGTATGCACGCAAGAGTGTGAGGTGTGAGTGAGAGTGTGTTTGTGTGCTCAGGTCTATTATCAGCTGCACACCCTGCTTATGACTAATGCGTAAGCCACATCTGCTCGCAGCCTAGATGCCTCTCAGTCAGTCATATCTTGCCCGCACCAACCATCTGGCTCTGGAGGAGCAGCAGAGGGAACACAAGAAACAATCAGCGCCACCACCCTGCCCTCGAAACCACAGGGTGTGTGAATACTATTAATGCCCGCGTCGATGAGAATCACAGCCACCGTCGGTGAGGAGTCAGACAGAGTGATTCTGCACATAGTGCCCCAATCAGAGTAAATAAGTGAGCAGAAACACTGAGGGTTGTTAGCTGAAAGTTAGAGAGAGGGGCAGCAACCTCGAGATGGAGGCGACAGAACTGAAAATGAAACCCTTCCAAGACAAAGTGTTGACCTTTGTGGTCTTGAAGAACCAATCCCAGAGTGTAAAATCCCACCCTGAGGTGCCAAAGTGACAACGCTGGTCTCTCACTTATTTCAAGAGCGCACAATCCTTATCCTTGGAAACTTTCTGTTAATCTGTCTGTATAAAAGCCGGGAGACAATGACCTACATTGACAGTTTGCTAAACCCCACCCTCTGTGATTAGCCAATAATAGCTCTGCAACTGTAACTAGACACAAGGCACCTGTCTCGTCTATCCAAGTCAGTTGGCTGTGTCGTATTTCTTTGAGTTGAGTCTAACATGAGCAGCGCTGTTCTTCTCTTTGTTCGATTTGATGGAAGTTTTAAACACCAGCCACTATAAAGACTTACAAGGTCTAAACAGGAAGTATTCTTATTTGTTGTGTTACAAGTCTTCGAAATGGATCATTGTGGTGAGGATGCTTACTTTTTTACTGAACGTTTTAAAAACATCTAGTACAAATAAACTGGAATCATTGACACATAAAACATGTTTAAAAGCTTCACCACAGACAAGATTTTCAAATCAAATCTGCCCTGATTCTAAACTATCCTGTGTTTGAGTTGTGGCAGAATGAAACCGCCTGACTGACTGTCAATAACTAGTGTTGGTGGAGTTTAGTGAACATGGTCTGTATAAGTGTGACTTTGGTTAATACTTCTAACTGTGTGTTTCCAGGCACATTACTGTTGTTTGACTGTAAGGGATGTCACTTTGGCCCCCCGCTGGGCTTATTGGTAAGAGAATAGGACCCCCAGGCCCCCAGTGGGACAGAGTGGGATGAGATTAGGGTGACTGTCTCATACTCGTTTGAACAGACGTCCAATAGAGCTTTCTTCTTTATTCTGCAAAATGTTCCAAAGTCAAAGAAAAGTCAGTCGTTATTTGCTGAGGATGAGAAGAACATTTAAGTTAACAGTTAATTTGCTTGTTTGTGTGTGTGTGTGTGTGTTTGCAAACCTTGCTGCGTGCATCAACGTTGAGCAGACACACTCCACAAGCCAACTCCTTGGCATTCTTGATGCCGTGCCTCAGAATACAGGAGGAGAAATCTAGGGAGCTTTCATGAGGCTACACACACACACACACACACACACACACACACACACACACACACACACACACACACACACACACAAACACACAAACACACAAACAAACGCAACACTGAATTAATTAACACTCAATTATGTTATTGGCAGCCATTCTATTGTGAATTGACCTTCAATGCTCTATTATCATGTGTTCTTGTGTAACCTGCACTCGAGCATGTAAACAAGTCTGGGTGGTGGTAGAACACAGTGAAGGCAGCTGTATACATACATTACACTTTTCTGAGCTGTGTAACTGTCTTGCTATCTGGCAGGTTTATAATGTGTCTTACAGCGAGCTTGGCCAGCGACATGAAGCCCATGAGGTTGTTCCATACACGGCTGATGTCCTTCAGCAACTGTTGCAGTTTCTCGGAGCTCACTGCCGTCGCTTTGATGCCCAGCTCCACACGCCTGGTGACGCGGTACACTTCCACCACACCTGAGAGAGAAAAAAATAACAAAAGCACAAAAATGATAAATATAATGTGTATTTGCTCTTTTGTGCTACATTTTCTGTGTTCAGCTGCAGTGACACGTTGGTCGCTCATAGCTCGTTAAAGGCAGAGAAACACAGTAATGAGAAGGACCTTGTCAGACCAGGCAGAAATAAGCCATCACATCATAGCTTGTTCTAAACTAGTCCTTGTTTCCTCTGTCCTTTACAGGGTCAAGGCCACTCACAGAGTTATTTAACAGCCTCTTGCTCACAATATAAAGCTAGCACAGCTTATATAGCGGTATAATGGTGGTGTGGTGTGTGTTTCCTCACCCAGCAGGTACTCCATTCCCTGAGCAGACTGGATGACCTCGGTGCAGACAGAGGAGCTGCTGATGCTGTTCAGGGTGTTGTTAGCTTTGGTGATGACCTTAGTGGAGGAAGACAGAGACCAGAGTAAGTGCTTATACACAATTTCAGCTCTTCACGATCGACATTATCTTAAAGCAGTTGACCAGTCACACTTATAACCTCAGCGTAGAAGTGTCCTGCTAGATAGATGAATATTGTCTTTAAAAAAAACGTTGGTTCACCGTTGCATTTACTGTGCGAATATTTATTGAAGACATATTCTGCTGATATTCAGGTTTATGATTTCGAATGGTTTACATGCTCTAATGATCAGAAAACATAACTTTCCTCATAATGTCCATTGCTGTAGCTCCTTTTTTCAGCCTGTCTAAAACACTAACACTAAGCTCCTGTCTCTGTCAGCCCCCACGAAAGGTGGTCCGGTCTGATTGGCCAGCTTGCCCACTCTGTTATGATTGGTCAACAGTTACACTTCCAGTGGTAAATAAAAAATTGGTCTTAAAAAAATGATTGTCCTTCACTGTAACAACAGGTTGAAAAGCCTTTCAGTGGCTTTTTGTTTCCTTAATTATTCTACTGCATTTGAAAAGTCCCCCTCACAATACGGTCCCACCACAGGACGAGTTCAGACACAATACACATACAAACCTCCAGAGCACTTTCCAGACACCTCTGCCACTCGTATGCGTAGCGCTCGCTCTCCTGCAGCAACACAGAACAAAATTATCTCAAATGAACACAAAGACAAAACAGTGGAACATTTTCCTGAGTATAGAGCTGAAGTCTGGCAGTTACTAGGCAGCAGATAACATGTGGTGCGGTTATCAACGCGCCCTCCTCACCTCCACTTCCCCAGTCAGGTCCTTGTACTTGTCCCTGATGACGGGCAGGGCGGGCTTCTCGCTCAGGGTGTTAGATCGGTCTCTGAAGTGCTGCTCCGGAGCTGGAGACGGCGGCGAACGGCCAATCTCCTTCTCACCCAAACTGTGACTGCGTTTGTGGGAGCCTGAGGCAAAGACAGGAGAGAAGAGAGAGATAATGCTAGAGAGGACCACAAACACATATACAAAAAAATGTCCCTAACCCTAACCCAATTTAGTAAGCCATGGCGATGATTAATTTTGAGATATGCACCGGTTTGTTTGCAATCATTAATTCCTTACAAAAAAGAAGCGCAAATATGCAGGTATGAATTATTCATAGGGACTCACACATTGACAAATTCTAGCAGGGTACCTCAACAAACACGGCTACAAACATATGCTAAACTCACTATTCCAGTGGGGCTGCCAGTGAGAGTGTGTGTGTGTTTGAGACATGCATCATCCTCCCCATACAACCCCAAAGCCCCACATGATCAGATCACTGTTCCAGTTGCTGAAGAGGAGTAAGTAAAGTCCTCTACTTTCCACACATTAAATCCAGCATATGAAGATAAACTACAGGATAAATGTGTTGTTATCATCATGCAGCAAAAGACTAATAAAGTATTTGTGGAACACCAGTAGACAGCGTTTGATCAAAAGAACAGCCTTTTAGTGGATATGGTTAATTTCTGCTCATGGATGTGTTGTCTGTGCTCATCTACTATCTCATCAGTCACTGCCAATTGGAGCAGGGCCGTCATCTCAACACTGCCATCTAATGTCTGTCAGCTTTAATACAGTTGTCAAGGAGCTGTCGAGTCGGAACTGGGATGGAGAAGAGCTTGAGAATTCCCAGCCTTTTAAGGCCATGTGAGTAGGGTTGGATGGTAGAGTGAGAGATTGAATTAAAAACATGACATTTGATCAAATTTAGATATTAACTTTAGACTTGAAAACTATTTCTTCAATGATCATTCAATCTTGAAAATTTGCCAAAAAGGTTAATAACTGAGTGACTAATGTGACTCTTTATTGTGAGGATTTACTGGTTTTCTCCACTGGTTTATATCATCTTGAATTTATTACAGACACCAAGGAGTCTGGAAGGACAAAATGAAAACAATTTGGTGACAGTTTCTTGGGATTGGTAAATTGTGATGGGCAAGTAGTTATAAATATCACCCGTGATTAAGCAATTTGTATAGTAAAACTAGTTCATCAAATATTCCCAGAATCTAAAGTGATGTCTTCAAATGTCTCGTTTTTTCCTATCAACATTACATGGAGCACAACAAAGCCAGACAAACTCCTATTTGTGAAGGTGAAACAAAAGCTGTTTGTAATTTTTTTTACATGAAAAATACTTGACAGGTAACTTTCAATCAATTTTCTAGTTGTTTTACAATTAAACTGATTGATTAAGAGATAAGTCAATAATACAATTTACTGTCACTTAAAACATGTGAATGTGACTGGCTCACCTTGAACGGACAGGTCAAAGGTTGCCAGCTCATTCTTGATCATCTCCTCACTGGACTTGACCTTGGTCTGAGAGCTTGCTTTGAGGAAGTCAGACCTGCCAAACTTGGGCTTGTCGCCCTGGAAGGCACTAAACTCATCTGGGGCTTCACTCTGGTTCCCCTCTGAGCCTGTTTCAGCTGTGGCAGCGGGCGAGTCGGATTTTTCAGAAACGGTACTTGCAAAGTCCCCAAAGTCGTCCTCATCGTTAACACCAGCATGGTCACCAGAGCTGAAGTCGGCGAAGGGTTCAAACTTGTCATCTGTTGATGAGCCTTCCTCTGTAGGGAAGGAGGTGGCAATCTTTGCTATTGAGTTGCTTGTGATGTTCTCGACACAGCCAACGGTCAGCTCCTTCCTCTGTGGTGGGCTTAAGGATGGAAGAGAAGCTCCTTCCAAGACCTGTGGTCTTCTGACCTCACCACACAGACATTCCTCCCTTTCTGACCAGTCATAGCTGGTCAGGGTGCTGAGGGCCGACGTGCCAAACGGGTCAAATTTCAGGTCTTCTCCTTCTGTAATGACAACACAGACATACCAGTGGTTCCTAGGAATAGCACAGAAGCAGTCATGATAGGATGTAGATTAATGAGCCTGAATGAGAAACTAAAAGTGCTGTTGATATCACTATGTTACTTGTGATATCCAATCCTTTAGCCATAGTGAGGTGTTTAGGAAAAAACTCTCTAAGGGTCAGTTCACCCAAATTACAAAAATATTTTTTCATGTAGCAATAGTTCTAGTTTTATTTGTCAGGGTTTGATATCCGTCTCTGAAGTGTCTGCCTCCACACAAGCACAATGGCGGTGACGAAAATCATATTATTGTGATTATTTTATTGTTATTATTTTTCTATTTAATCTTCAACAGGACTAAAGATTATATAAACTCACCCACAAATTAATTGAAACATCTTTCTAGAAGCAATATCCAAGTTACCCTAATGAACACACCTCACTGTAAACAGTTTGTATTAGCACTACTCAACTGGGCTGCACCGACTAGTTCTTTAATTGATTAGAAAGGAATTTAGTTAGTTTTCCAAGTGAAGACATGAAACGGTTCTCAAAATAAAGAATTGGCTAATCTTTAACTATTTTACTCTGCGATTAATACTTCAAGTAACAAATGTTAAACATTTTCTAATTAGAGCTTCTTTGATGAGAGGATTTGCTGCTTTATTTTCTTTTAATACAGTCAATTGTTTTGAATTGTGTATGAGACAAATTAAGATGTTTAATAAAGTCACTTTGTGTTTACGGGTGTTTCATTGACTAAATAATGAATTCATTATTTAAGAACAAAATCAGCAATCAGGGTATTGTTGGTTGCAGCCCTTCTTTCAACCAAAGTGGGATAGTGCAAGGAAAAAGACCATTACCAATTATCATATAGAAATGTTTCTGTTGAATCTCTAATATGTACATTTTCACTTAAATGAAACACAATTCCCCTCCATTGTTCTGAGAAGGAGGCTAAAATTTCACAGATCTTTGAAAACACATGCAAATAAAACCAATATCTGCTTAATGTCACTACAGGAAAGTGAGAACTTTGTTTTATGTAATCTTGGTGGACTGACCCTGTAACTTTACATCTATCACACATTCTGCACTGCTACAGCCTAAAGAATGAGATCGGATGTATCGTAAGGTATTCCCTCCCCATATTTTACACTTACACAAAAGATATGAAAACAAATGCTGTATATTATTAACACGTTTATGATCCGATGCAACTGCATTGTAATTAGCCTAGCAGCTGAATAATACACGTTGTAACACACACCATGTTGGAAGAGTACATCCTCTCACCCATATTTTTGTGAATTGTGTTAAATAATTCATCTCAAACTGAGTGAATGTGTTGTTTTGATGTCTGAGCTGAATCTTGAACAGAAAATTACTGTCATCAATTTACTTCAACATGCTGCTGTTTTTTTTGTAGTGGACAAATCCTCGACCCTGTTTTCATTGGTGACAATAGTCGAAGCTCATCTCCTCATACTAAATCCTACTTGAAGGATGTTCAAGCATTAATACAATCTTTGTCACTACTTCTCCTGTGTGTCATGCGTTGTTTTGATTGTGATCAGTTTTTTAATGACTAATACTAACTGACAGATCTATAAAGCTTCCACACATTTGTCAACCCTTCAGTATCCACGTCTCGCGCTCAGTGTCTCTCACACACCCTCACAAACACAAAACACACAAACCCGAGCGCTGAACCCTTCCTATTTTGCATGACTGAGCCCTCAGGTACAAAAAGCAATTTGTGAAATTGACAAGGATCTAGAGCTGTAAGCCTGACATCGCATCACTTTACGGCCTCTCGAGAAAGGAAAAAGGAGAAAATAAGACGGTACGCGTTTCAGCAATACCAACAATCATATTTATTACAACAACATGGGTAGAGAGAAAGAGAGAAAGATCACAAAGTACTGTGAAAGAGGTCTATCATTACAAGAGGTTTGTCAAACTAACACTTTGTAAAATTAGAATTCAGTCATTTAGGATACAAGGGCATGCAGAGTCAAGAGAAAAGGGAGGAAAACAAACAGCGAGAAGGTAAAACAAAGAGAGTCCGAGGATATAGAAACAGAAACCAGAATGAGAAGGCACATTCACAGACTAAAATCAGTAATTCTGGGGAGATAACAAACTGTGTTTTAATATTAGCAGGTAAAGCAACAGGTTATTTTTTTGGGGAAAAAAGATTTGATTACAGAACATTTGAAAAGCCAGGTTGAAAAGAGAATTCAAAGAACAAGCTCAAGGTAGGAGGCGTTATTAACCCTTTGAGGACCCGAGGAGAACACATGGTTAAAAATGTTTATGTACAAACTGCACTTAAGGAGCAGCAAGGACTGTAAAGCCACCATTTAAGAGGCTCTTTATGCATTTCGTTAATTGTGAAATAAGATAAGTTCTGGTGTTTATTCTAGGAAATTTAGGAGGAGTAGATCACAACATCAGCATGTAAACACGAGAAGTGACCTCATTCAAGCACTCAAAGGGTTACAGAAAACAAAGACGGCCATCCTTAGACCTGACATCCCAGACAGGGCCTTAATTACATCTATTCACAGATGCAGAAACAGATTTAAAGAGACAGTATCCTTTTCCTCTTGATACAATATTTGTTTGTCGAAAGTGGCCTAATGTGCACAAACTCTTCCCTAAACTAAATAGCACATCATTATTTTCTCAAGACAAAGTTCAGATCAGAGCATGAACTGAAAAATACTGTAATGAACACTTTAATCCAACTAAATACTGTAAGCTACATTTAATTTACATAGTTGGCAAATCACAACAAGGTCAGGGATTCTTCCTAGTCTCAAAATAAGAGCTCATATTCCTGTAATAAAAATACACTATTAAATCTGTAAGTATACATTTTTTTCCTTTGATAGAAACAACTTGCAATACTGTTGTTAAAATGGTTATCAGGTAATACTTTCTTGTCAATTTCACAAATTGAAAAGGCAGGCACACTGCAGCAAAAAGCAAGGCAGGAAGGGTAAATACGAATGTCATTATGTTCTCAAAGAGCCAGCCCGTAGAGCCACACATGATTAACTCATGCTGCAATATCACAGATAAGGTTAAAAAAAAAAATTAAAAAAGAAAATCTGATTCCTTTTGTGCTCCAGACTCAAAAGGAAGCTTTCAAAAGAAATACTGTCTCTTTAAGATTGCGTACATGTCCAGAATTACAGTGCAAAGCGTGGTGAGGTGCTCGAACTGCTCAGTCTGCTACAATTCAACTTAGACAGGTTTGTCCCAGAGCTCTCAAAGAACAAGAACAGCAGAAAAAGGTAGAGGAGAAATGTATGATGGAAACTTTTAGGAATGTATCCATGCCTGGGTAACTACTTCCACCCAATTAACAGAAGCCCTAATGTTTAGCTGCATCTCCAGAGTGTTTTACTCTCAGTAAAGAGGGGCCTGTTTGGGTTAATCCAAAATCTGACTCCTGTACAGGAGTTGAAATAAGGCAATGGGGATGTTTACATTTATGAATTCCTCTGGTCATATAAAATAATTATGGATTCCTTGGATGAAACTGAGAAATGAACTGATATGTTGAAATACTTTAAGTTGAGAAACATCCAAGCAGACATTAGTGTGCTCAACTCGACAGGTAAGGACATTGTCAACTTTCTCAAGCCACAGAAAATGGTCAATTTAAGTTGCAAATCACAAAAGTCTTCATTTGCAAGGATTTCACCTGACAAAATAAGTTCTGTCTTGGGTTACATTAAGAGTTGGTCTTGAATGTGTTTCTGTGAAATATGAGTCATGACATGGAAGGTGATACGTTGGGTGAAGAAATGATGAGCACTGGAGAGAGGAAGAGAGGGAGCACTGACATGGACATTACCCAATTATTATGGTAATGAGTTTGATTTTCTTTTAGTAAATGACGCAACAAAACGTTTTAGGTCAACGTTAACTCCACTTTCATGGATGTGAGGTAGAGGGGAGGATAAAACCAACATGATATTACGGAAATATCTCATAATTAGAGCGCCATTCGAAAATAATACTGCATGAGAAGTCCAAAAATACTGCAGGGTAATACAACAGCTGACGCACACGCACATCTCTGTTGCTTCCATGACACAAAATATAGCTGTTTCAAAATAGCTTGTTGCTGTTCTCGCATGCGAAATGTCCTACTTATGGTGTAATTTCATATTTGGCTTTTAAAATAATTTTATCTGGTGCACAAGCAGCACAAACCAAATGTCAACAGTTAGTTGGATGAATTATCGGATAAAGCTTTTGGTAAACTGCAGCCTTTTGTGCAAAACCTATGATTAAAATAAACAAGAGAACATCGCCACAACAACCCCTTGTAGTTGTCTGTATTCTATTCAGCCTCTCCGTGTTGCACAACACGTTCGACCACATACATTCACACACACTCACACGCTCAGTCTGGCCTGTGGAGACAAAAAGTACACTGAGGAGAAGCAATGTGGACATAACAGACATGAACCTAATCCGAGTCACATAGACAGCGACTAGGGACCTAGTCTACAAATATTCTGCCATCACATCCAAACCAGGCACACATCATTCGTAAATACATAGAGATCGGCCAGGACACTAATAATATATGCAGAAAAATAGGGAGGGGAAAGTTGAAATAAAGGATGAACTAAGATTCAAATAACATGATATGTTATTTATGTAGGGTTATGTCTATCTTGTGTTTTTGAGTATACTGAAATCCTTACTTGCCCTCCGATCCCTTTTTTTTTTGTTGGGTCGATGGGCACCAAGGAGGAGAGGCC